CATGGAAAATTATGACATAATGTAAAGTGAAAAAGCAGATACGAAACCATATCTTCTGTAACAGTATGAGCCTAATTACCTTGGTGTTTTTGTGAGAGAGAGTGTGTGTGTGTGTGTGTATCAAAGGAAAAAGAAAGACTAAAAGGAAATATACCAAATGGTAGTTTTCTCTGGAACAGATTATGGAATATTTTGTCTTCTTTTATAATTTTTTTCCCCAGGTTTTCCGTATTGAGCACATATAATTCTTATTTTCTAAACGTATGTTTATATGCATGTTTGTATAGGTGAAAATAAAACAAGAATTATCTATCTAATATGAAAAAAGCTTTTAAAAAAGATAAATTTGCAAATCACTCACATGGAGGTGTTAGTTGAAGTCATAGGAAACAGGTTAGATTGCTCAGGGAGAAAGTATAACGAGAACAGGATGCTGGACAGGGCCATGGCAAACACCCAAATTTAAGGAGCAAAAAGACCTTAAATGAGTGAGTTAGTGAAGGAGCACAGGAGGAAGTGGTTAGATTAGAAGATGGAGAACCAGGTAGAGTCATGTCAAGAAAGCCAAACGAAAGGAAGAACCAGAAAAGTTGTCCACTTGGTCAAATGTTGCCAAGTGGTAAGGAGGACAGTGACAGGGCCATTGGAGGGAAATCACGGGGCACTAGGTATGGACAGACAGGTTTCCTCTAGTGCTGGAGGTGGAAGCCAAATCTGAGCAAATGTTCCCTGTTCAGTAAAACTGACGATGAGGAAAAGAAGTTCTGAGCCATTTGCTTAAATTTCATGGGAAAAACAGATTGTGGGAATCTAAAACCAAATAAAAGTAGATCAGGATTACTAGTCTATGGGTAATGAAACAAAAATTGGCGATACTTTGGTGTGCAAGAAAAAATATGTTTGAGGGATTATAAAGTTTTCCATACAGTAAGCTCCATTACAGGATAAATAAGGGAAAAAAATAGCTCCACACTTGTTAGCAGAAGTTCAAAAAAGCTGCATCGGGCCAGCCCTGATGGCCTAGTGGTTAAGTTCAGCGCACTCCGCTTCAGCGGCCTGGGTTCGGTTCCTGGGCGCAGACTTACACTGCTCTGTTAGCAGCCGTGCTGTGCTGGCAGCCCACATACTAAAAAATAGAGGAAGATTGGCATGGATGTTAGCTCAGGGTGAATCTTCCTCAGTAAAAAAGAAAAAGAAAACAAGAAAGGGGCCAGCCCGGTGGCATAGCGGTTAAGTTCGCAGGCTCTGCTTCGGCGGCCCGGGGTTCACAGGTTCAGATCCCGGCACAGACAGACGCACCGCTTGTCAAGCCAGGCTGTGGCGGCGTCCCATATACAGTAGAGGAAGATGGGCATGCATGTTAGCCCAGGGCCAGTCTTTCTCAGCAGAAAAGAGGAGGATTGGCACTGGATGTTAGCTCTGGGCTAATCTTCCTCACACAGAAAAAATTAAAAAAAAAAAGAAAAAAAAGTTGCATCTTTTTTTTTGCTGGGGATGAAAGTTCTTAGTTTCAGTGTAGCATTATTTATTTATTTATTTATTTTGTAAGATTAGCCCTGAGCTAACATCTGTTGCCAATCCTCCTCTTTTTGCCAAGGAAGACTGGCCCTGGGCTAACATCCGTGCCCATCTGCCTCTACTTTATATGGGACACCGCCATAGCGCGGCCTGACAAGCAGTGTGTCGGTGCGCACCCGGGATCCGAACCCAGGCCGCCAGCAGCGGAGTGCATGCACTTAACCGCTACGTGACCCGGCCAGCCCCTCAGTGTAGCATTATTAAGAAACTCTTTAAAAATAAAAAGAATGTAAAATTTCATGGTATCATATTAACTTCTTATGACTGGATATATGAAGTCTCTAGAAATGTTTTCAAGTATAAAGAAATCATTTGATATGCTAAATAAGGAATTCCTCATTGGGTCAAATCTAGTCCTTTTTATGAAAAGAGGTCTGCATTAGCACAATAACTTGACTGAGTCTCAAGGACTTTGTATCCAGCCACAGAATAAACATATCAGTATGGTCCTACCAGGAGTACCATTTACCACAGAATCTCAATTCCACAATCATTAAGTAGAAACTACTCAATTTACAACCACTCATTTGTTACTAAAGAACCTTGAGAGTCTGTGTTAAGTAATTTAACATCACCTGGAGATTACTGTACACAATCTAAAATAAAGTACTTTAACTTCCTATCAAGAAACATACAGTGAAAGACCACAGCAACCTGAAAAAAAAAAGACTTTTCTTATGGAAATTCTTGACTTAGGAACCAAGTCACACATTTTCCTACCTGCAGAAAGAGTACAATTCCAATCTAAATGAAATTCATCTGTCTGTATGGAATTAAGAATGCCTGAAAACTTGTTTTGCTCTCAACATAAATAATGACAAATTCTCCCAATTTGTGGTTAGGTGGCCTTTTATGGCAAAGATGTCTAGTGATCTCCCACACTCTCAACATTCTTTTGTGTTTGTGTGTATATGTCTTTGATGAACTTTTCTGGTACAGAGGCTCTAAGTTAATTACAGTATATTGTTGAAAAATACCAGAGGAAAGCCAAGAATTTGAAACCCTAAGAGGAACAATAATTAAAATTGTACTTGAAAACATTATAAGAAAACAACATAATCATTGTAGATACCCAAAACACATGCCAATACCTACTGCCTTTCCAAAAATTCCTGGTGGAGACCACTTTCCTAGAGTGTGAACAGAAAGAAAAGAGGTAAGCAATGTCAGAGAAATGTGTTCATCAAGTACCATGGCTCAAATTACCAAATGAAACAACCACAATCTGTATTATCAACCCAAAATCTCTATTTAAAAAATGAAAAACATAATCATATAGAAGGGACCGTGTCATGTTCATCCTCTGTATACAAGACGGGCACACAGTAGGCAATTAATAAAAGCCTGCAGTTATATGAAGAGCCCTCAAGACTACCATAGACTTCAGATCATCAAAACTCTGCAAAGAATCTTCAAACACTTCTGACCCTTTCCTCCTCCACCCATCTACCCACCGTGCCTCCTACCAAAAAAAAAAGGAAGAAAAAGACATTTTGAGGGCACCTTAGCAAGAAAAAGTATCCTCTGTCATCAAGACTGCTGTCAATAGAATTGTTTTCACTTCTGAAGTTTTCTCTTCTTAGAATTATTAGAAGGTTAAAATTTGGCCCACCTTTAACCAGAGTCTGTAACAAAACTTAAATGTACCAAGTTAAACAAAGTTACACAATGGAGCAATTTTTATAAAATGGCACTGCTTTGCTAATGTTGCCAATATACTAGTCTCTTCCCAGAGGCTCTACAGTTCAGGGACTACATGATAACAACACTTCCAGGCCCAGTACAGAACAGTGAAAATAGCTCCACTATTTACTAAACTGTCACAGATTTAACAACAGGTCCTAATCTCATCTTCAAAAGGCAATAATGTAGGCAGAACACAAGATAAGAAATACCAGTGATACAAATACATGGACTAAAGTGAATCACTCACTGTTACTCAAAGGTTTTTGTGATTATTGCTGTTTGTTTTGTTTTTAAGGGAAAATAGAAGAGGGAATTTCTAAAAAAACTGTATTAGCTGTGCTTCTATAGCACAATGGGCTGATCTCTAATATAGCACTGACCTCACTAATACTATAAGTCATATCTATTGATCTGCCTAATCCGTTTGATTTTAAGCTCTTTTAGAGTAGGGAGTTTGGAACTTTGAATCCACAGCAGGACTGACACAACAGAGGCACTCAAATGTTTTGTCCAAAAAATGAAATAAGTTCCCAAAGTAATTACCTAGTACCAGGTTATGTGTTGTTCTATTGATGCAAAACAAGGAAATATACATGCATACACTTTTTTTTTAAACCGTCTCCTCTGCTAACTCTATAACTTTTTGAAGGTCTACCTAAAACATGATAATCCTGCATCCAGGCTATAACTTCTGGGGAACTTGGAAAATGTTTGTTGAGGGTCATCTTTTGTATCCACATCAGACCTCAGAAGAAAGTGTTATTTTATGGTTCCTAAAATATTTATCATTTGTGAATAGTATTAGTAACTATGCAGATAAAAAGTATTCCTTTAACTATTTACATCAATAGCAAAAGAAAGAATATCTAAGGCCAAAGAACAACTCTCCCCTAAACGGGTATTGTCTTAAAGGCTGATAACTCCCTAACTACCTTTGACTAACTTGAAAAGTCAAGTCAACAGAACCATCTGGATCAGGCACACTTTTGAAAACTGGAATTAGATGAAAGACAATAGTAGTTCAAATATCTCTTACCATGATCAGCTAAATTTCTTGTCCCAAGCACCAGTAAGGAGGCAAGAAAGGGCACCAGATGGTTCGCTCCTAACACTTACAACTTCAAGCCTAGTAGGTGTAGCCAGGAGTGTACAGTTACCTTATATTAACACCTACGTATGTTGGTGACAGGTACGAACGATATATACATGATAGCGATTAGCGGATGACACATCCAGCTGCAAAGACTGCTATCTTCTCGACACACCACAAAAGGGTGTAGGTGTCTTAGAGTTCAGTTGGCAGAATGGAAAGGGAGAAAAATCAAAGACGGAGGGAAGGGCTGAAAATGAAGACGGTAAAAGAGCAGTTGAACATCAGAATATTTCCCTGGGAGACTATTTTGAATTCTGATGAACTGCCACCTTCCTCCACCAACCAAAAAAGTATAGCGTTAGAAAGGACTGTTCCTGGTGGAAAAGGAGGGGGTCCTCTCAGCTCCCGCCCTCAGGCAGCAAAGGCTCAGCCCTACATAATTACTCCCAACCCCAGCACACTACCCAGAAGTGAGGAAAGAGCAGAGGGTCAGCGACTCCTCCACTCCTCTCTGGTGGGGGAGGATTCACGCCCCTTGTGCTCCCCACGTCCCAGAAGTCGCGGGAGAAAGAGGGTGTGGAGGGAAGCCGGGGTCTCGGCGCACTCTCCGGCTGTGGAGGATGTGGAGAGAGAAGGCCCTTACCCGGCTAAAAGCGCTCTCTCCTCCGCGCTGCTACCAGCCCCGCCACGGGTCCCAGGCGCTCTGCCTCGCGCACCTGTCGCGACCTAGCAGCAGCACCTACAGCTCCTGCGGCCCCGCCCCGGTCCGGCTCTGAGCCCCGCCCCTCACCCCGCCCACCGCCGCGGGGGCGCGCACGTCAGCCCGCCTCCCGTGCGGCCTCGGGGCGAGCGTGCGCGCCGCCTGCTGCGTGCCCTGCCCTGGCGGCTGCTCGCGTTGCTACGCGGTGCGTGGCGTTGGCGTTTGAGAGGCGGGGTTGCTTTAGCTGTCCACGCCGCTCTCTGAGGACTCCCCAAGTGTTCACGGCCTTGGGCTTTATGCTTTTCTACTTTGGCGTTAACTCTCTGGCTCAGAGTTACCGCAGTTTGACTCGGGAGCGACTGGGAGGTTTGTCCTAGGCTCAACTGCAGGCCTGTCCCCAGCCAGGTTCCTGGTGCTGTGGTGGCGAGTTCTGTGCAGGGAGGAGGCCGTGTGTAGAGGAAAGAGCTGTAAATTAATCCTGGCTCGACCGCTTGACGTTCATCAAGTCGCTTCGCCTCACTAGAGCTGAGTTTCCTCATATGCATGAAGAGGTTGGACAAGGGCAGATCAAGTTCTCCAACAGCTCTAACCATTATGGTTCCTATGCTTAGAACAGGAGCTGTGCGAAAGGTGTAGAGAACTCAGGAGCCTAGAGCTCGGCCATCCTGTCCCCCGATTCTTGCCCCAGTTCCCTGCAGCTGCATGACTGCCCTTTAATAGTGTCCTTTCCTTCTGCTGCACGTAAGTGTAGTAAGGTTTCAGACCACAAATTTTCTGAAGCTTCTCGGAATTCATGTAGCTTGATTGGTACTATAAGGGGCTAGGAGTGGTAAACGCCTGTATTTATACTTCGTAGCAGTGAAGGAAAATTTTTAAGAGAAACGTCCAACAGCAGATGATGGATAGACCAAACAGTTGTTTCCGTCTTCCTTCAAGTATCCAGCCTAGACTGGTTTCTGGATACGTATCAAGCATCAAGACTCTCTAGAAAAACTGACAGGCACCATGAGAATGTAAAAGGGTATGCATCATCAATATAAAATGGTACTCCAGAAAATGCATTCCCTTGAATGTGGAGTTCCCTCAATGTACGTCAACCCCTTCCCAAATATTTTTTTGAATCAACCCAATAAGGGCTCTTACTCTCCACGAAGAAGACTAATCCTAACCTGGGATAGAGTTTTAGATCTAGATTTGAATCTTGACTCAGCCACTTGTCAACTAGGCAAATTACCTGCTTTCCCAAAGCTTCTCTAGTGCCCTTTTGAAAATAGAGCTAGGAGTACACCAAAGTTGGCTTTTACCAGTTTGCAAGGCTGATTGCTAAATTTCTGGGGATATTATGAGCCAGTTGTTAAGCATAACTACTATTAAAAATCAAACTATATAAATTTGCAATTAAATGTTAAAAAACAGGTAATAAATACTCAAAGCTCACCACTTTTTTTTTTTTTTTGGTGAGGAAGATTGTCCCTGAGCTATCATCTGTGCCAATCTTCCTCTATTTTGTATGTCGGTCTCCACCACAACATGGCCTGATGAGCCGTTGTGTAAGTGCATGCCTGGGATCCAAACCTGCGAACCCAGGGCCGCTGCCAATGTGGAGCATGCAAACTCAACCACTACGCCATGGGCCAGCTGCACAACTACTCAACTCTTACATTAAAAATGGGAGTGGCCATGGGGCCAGCCAGGTCGCGCAAGCAGTTAAGTGCGCACGCTGTGGCGGCCAGTGGTTCGCCGGTTGGGATCTGGGCGCGCCCTGACTCACCGCTTGGCAAGCCATGCTGTGGCGGCCTCCCATATAAAGTGGAGGAAGATGGGGACGGATGTTAGCACAGGGCCAGTCTCCCTCAGCAAAAAAAGAAAAAAGAGGAGGATTGGCAGATGTTAGCACAGGGCTGATCTTCCTCACACACACACACAAAAAATGGGAGTGGCCATGTTCCAATAAAGCTTTATTTACAAAAACAGGTAAAAGACTGCTGAAGAAAATGTTGATAATGCAGAATTTAAACTTTAAGGGTGTGGGGCCAGCCCATGGCATAGCCGTTAAGTGCTCACACTCTGCTGCTGGCGGCCTGAGTTCGGATCCTGGCGCGCACCCACCACCACTTGTCGAGCCATGCTGTGACCGCATCCCACATAAAGTGGAGGAAGATGGGCACAGATGTTAGCCCAGGGCCAGTCTTCCTCTGCAAAAAGAGGAGGATTGGCATGGATGTTAGCTCAGGGCTGATCTTCCTCACAAAAAAAATAAATAAACTTAAAAGTGTGTCACATCCATGGCCTTGACGTTATAACACAAAAAAATTGAGAAAGTATTCTTCCAGTATTTAAAAACTGTTATCCAATTTAGCAAAGAAGTTGCTCCTGTCATTGATAAATGAATGAAGTTCCAATATACCTCTTGACTATTTCACTTTTGTCTTACTGGTTAACTTAAACAAAAATATCAACCAACATCCATGTCTGAACTACACTTCTTTGGCAGTGATGTGAGCATCATTTTTGCTGAATTGAATCGTAATCAAGCATTTATTCATAATCTGATTTTGTGAAATTGTTGGAAAAAGAATCAAAACTGATAGATTTTCAAGAAATAGCAAGTCACACTGAAGGTATAGGTATAGACCAAAAAGCAAGGTAAGTATTTTAGTTTAAAATTCATGCTATCTAAAATCATATTATAATCATTAACAAAAATATTACGTTAACCCCCAAGTAGTATTGTGATTTTACTAACATAACAACATTACTTTTCAGATTCTGATCCCTAAAATGCCAAAGTAACAGAGAGACTTACTAAGTTTTTTAAATCTGAAGAAGTTTAAAATAGACATGGAAAATAATGATAGGAGTGAAAATGGTGGGATACCTAAGCTAATGGAAACAAATTTCAGAACTGTTAAATGACCAACCATTGAAGAAAAGTCATCATGTTCATCAAAGGGAGAAATAGATAATCTTGTGCTTCCAGATAGTTGGAATAAAAAACCAGTGTTATGTTTTCAGAACAGTACAAATGGCTTGAAACAAAAGAATGTAAATTAGGATGTAATGATTGTTTGATAGTTCAGCATTTGGGAGTGACAGCAGACAAGCATGTCCAGGGGTCCAAGGAATGGAGGGCATATTTAGTAACCCCAAGTGGTATTAATAAAACTACTAGGCAAACTTTTCTGCAAAAAAAAAAATTAGAGAACATGATTTTTCTTTCTTTTTTCTTTTTTTTTTTTTTGTGAGGAAGATCAGCCCTGAGCTAACATCCATGCCAATCCTCCTCTTTTTGCCGAGAAAGACCGGCCCTGGGCTAACATCCATGCCCATCTTCCTGTATTTTATATGGGACGCCGCCACAACATGGCTTGACAAGCAGTGTGTCGGTGTGTGCCTGGGATCAGAACCTGCGAACCCTTGGGCCGCCGAAGCGGAGCGCGTGCACTTAACCGCTGCGCCACCAGGCTGTCTCTGGTCACATGATTTTTCTAAAGACTGTACTAAGATTCAAGATTTGTTAAAAGAATCAACTAATAACTCAATTTCCAATTTAGTGTATAAACTAAATAATGAAAATATTGATACTATTAAAGAAGTTTTTAATTCTCTTTACAGTTTAATAAAACATAATAGGCCTTTATCTGATAGTGAGGGGGCAATAGAATTAAAAGAGAAAAATGGAGTAGATGTAGGCAACTGTTTACCTACACGATACAGTGCAACAAGAACAGCAGAACGTATTGCAAAAGAAATTGTATGAAGACATTTAAGAATATCATAGAAGAGAGTGCCAGATATGTGCTATAATTGATTAGGCATCTATACTTTTGAAGAAAAGCACCTAGTGATTTATCTCCAGTGCACAGTTGAATCGTTTTCTGTACTGGTGATGATGTTTGTTGCTTTAAAGGAATTAGTGTCAGCCACAATGGAGTGTATTTCTAATACATTATTGTCTACTTTAAATGATTGTGGCTTTGCTAATGAATATTTGAAAGTGAACTTAATTGCATTTTGTTCTAATGGTGCTTGTACAATAGTGGGAAGCAAGTCTGGAGTAGCTACAAATTTGTTAGAAAATTTTCCTGAAGTCATCATTTGGCACTAAGTTACCAATTACAATTCAGTATCTGAAATAAAATAAGGCAGTCATTTTAAAATATTCTGGATAAAATTTATTGTATTTATCACCAATCCAATAAAAATCAAATTGATTTAGAAACTGTAACTAAAGAACTTGAAAATGTTAAAACTGGTCGAGTACTGGGGTCGAGATGAGTAGCACGTAGTTTACAAACTGCCAGCGCTGTATGTCAGGCATATCCTTCATGGTATATGCATTTTTTGCATTCTTTTCTAGTTTAGCAAAGAGATTAGCTAATGTTAATTTCTTGCAAGACTTTGCTTTACTGATTGACATTTTCAAAGAATTTTCATTATTTTCAAATGCATTGCAGTCAAGATCGACGAACATTCAGAAAGTAAAAAAATTAATCAAGTGCACCATAAAAGCTTTGGAAAACTTAAAATTGTTATTAGAAAGCATGAATCTGATGTTAAAGATTTGTCAGATAAGTTTAAAGACATTCCATTTAATAAAAATAAATTTGAGGGCTGGCCCCGTGGCTTAGTGGTTAAGTGCTCCAGCTCTGCTACTGGCTGCCCGGGTTCGGATCCCGGGCGCACACCGATGCACTGCTTCTCCAGCCGCTGAGGCCACGTCCCACATACAGCAACTAGAAGGATGTGCAACTCTGACGTACAACTATCTAATGGGGCTTTGGGGAAAAAAAAAAGGGAGGAGAATTGGCAATAGATGTTAGCTCAGAGCCAGTCTTCCTCAGCAAAAAGATGAGGATTAGCATAGATGTTAGCTCGGGGCTGATCTTCCTCACACACACACAAAATAAATAAAAAATAAATTTGAAGCTCTGCCTAGAAATATGTTACTAAAAAGTAATAAATTTATGCCTTTTATTAGAAACAAAGCATTTTTAATTATTTTGATTTATTAAAACCATCTCCTTGGCCTTATGAACAACCAACTTTACCACGGATAGCTGGTGGGGGAAA